TTGGATTAATCTTTCCTATTGGTTGATGTCACACGCTCTACCAATAGGAGAGCGCAAAACGCCATTAATCCAACCCAGGTTGGTGCAAACCCGGTCGGGCCGAAAACGCTATAAAAGAGAAGTGCCAGAAATAATTACTGAAGTATTATTTCTATTTGGCATCATCGAAAAAATTCTACAAGCTTCTCATATTGAATGTACTCTTCAACAGTTGAATAAGTGCTCGCTGCTATAAATGTATTCTTTTAGATCTGAAAATCTGATTGGATGATTCAGAAGAGTACATAAATAACAGCGAACTTTCCCTCAACTGTTGAATTTGCTGAACACAGCCATTACTACGCATGTATTACTGGCAGTAATATTTAAGCAGTAATATATTTCAGCAGTAGTGCGAAAAAATCACACACAGCAGTAATACTTCTGTGTAGTTGTCAATAATACGTCTATGTGATTCCTAATAATATTCCCAGTAGTTTCCTATAATATTTCTGTGTAGCGATCAGTAATATTTCGGCAGTCGGTCTTTTCCATAAGGGAAGGCTCGAAAGTTAGACGGGGAGCACAGACTCTTGCATAACGTACAATGCATAAGAAAATTAACCAATCAAAGTCCTTTATTTCCTTCCTTTCCACGAAATAAAGGACTCTGATTGGTTGATTTTCTTATGCCTCACATTTTATGCGTTATGCAAGAGTCTGTGTTCCCCGCTTTAGGGCTCTCACACATGAAATGCATAACAGAGCATAAGCATAACATAAGGCCGCTAAACCAATGAGCATCTTATGTAAATCAATATGGCGACATTATGCTAGATGCTCATTGGTCCAGCAGTCTTATGTTATGCTCTGTTATGCATTTCATGTGTGAGAGCCCTTATAATACCGCCGGCATTAGCACTACGTAAGGTGTTCGACCGACAGCTAAAACCTCTTGAATGTTGTTCAGGATCATATCCTAGAGAACATTATTAAGATCAAGGTCATTGGAGATTGTTTTTCTTATTTTCATTTTTACATAAAAATAAATTTTCAGTGCAAAAATGAAAATAAGAGAAACAATCTCCAATGACCTTGATCTTAACAATGATCCTGAACAACATTCAAGAGGTTTTAGCCGTCGGTCGAACACCTTGCGTAATGCTAATGTCGGCGGTACTGTAACTTTCAAGCCTAACTCGCAAAGTACTTAATGAAAATGAACTTAATTATAGTGTTTTGGAAAGCTCTCGAAATAAGTTACAAGAATATGTAATGAAAAGTTGAGGGTTCCATTTAAAAAATTCAAAGTGACCTTGCCCTGATTTTGACAACGCCACCAAAGGTCAAATCAATAATACCATCTTATATCCCCCTCGAAATCACAAAAGTTTTGTCTGAAATACTTCGATTTAACGCAGTGATTCTGAAATATTTGAGTGGATCTTTTAAAATGGGACATCTGTATATCGTATAATATGTACAAGGTGTTTCATTTTAAGTGATATGGTCGATTATCTCGCGAATCGATGATTTTATTGAACAATTTTTCGAACGAAAGTTGCATGGCTTGAAGGGGGACACATGATGGAAATGTGGACTTGACCTTGAGTGACCTTGTCAAAATCAGGTCAAGATCATTAATGTTTTTTTAAATGGAAACCCCTATTTTTTATTACATATTCTTGTAGCTTATCTCGAGAGCTTATAATAAAGTTTAAACATTATAATAAAGTTATTTTCGTTAAGTACTTGTTAAGTTATAAGGCAAGACCATCACTGATCCGGCTAATCAAGGCTAGATCAATTACTGATCCGGCCAATTAAGGCAAGATCACTTCGAATATGTCTTTAGCCTGATAAGATGTTCAAATAGAGATTTTCTTGCAGACAGCCTCATCCATTTCTTAAAATTTTCTACTGTTGAAATTAAAATATTTTGAGGAATGTTACGACAAACATTAGTTATTCGATTTTTCATGTCTCCTACAGATGTCGGCAGAGTTTTTTAAACAATATTTTTCATGTAGTCCCACAAAAAAATCACACGAAGTTAAATCAGGAGACCGTGGAGGTCTTGAATATATCCATACCTCCCTATCCATCTTTCATGAAAGATGTTATTCAGGTATTCCGTCACAATACGATGAGAATGGGCACCATCTTGCTGTCATCACATTTTTTGTCGAGTAGCAAGATCAACCTCTTCTAAAAGCTCAGGCAATTTATTCTGCATAAAAGAAAGGTAAATTTCCCCATTTAAGCGGTTACCAAAAAAGTATGGACCAATCAAATATTGATTTACAATTCCGCACCAAGTTTAAACTCCAACGATATTGATTATCAACACGTTGAATCTAGTGAGGATTGTATGTGGACCAATAATGACAGTTATGCCTGTTGGTTGTCCATTATTATGAAATGAGGCTTCGTCACTAAAGAAAGCATACTGAAAAAAAGTTGAATCTTCTCTTATCATTTGTAATGCCCAACGACAAAATTGTCTTTTTAGCGTCATATCACTTACATTTTGGGTTAAAGTGATGTGGTAGGGATGGAATTTATGTCTTTGTAAAATCCTCCACACGGTGACATAAGGAATTCCTAAATTACATTGTAGTTCTCTAGTCGAAATATGAGGATTCAGGTTTTTCATTGCTAGCACTACTAATACACGCGGATTAACGTCATCTTTAGCATTTATTTGCTTGCAGTTAATAAAATTCTTCTCGTAATAAAATTCTTCTTATCTACATTTGGATGTCGTCTAAACGGATATCTGTTACGATACAATCTTTCTGCTCTACAATAATTTCATCCAGCTTCACCAAACACAAGAATAATATCAACGATTTAATTTGAACTGTAAGCGGCCATTTTGAAAAAAGCTTTGAAAAAATCCACTAATGTAAAAAAATTGAAAGAAAAAGCTATACGAAAAAAAGAGGAAAGTTGAATCGTTCAATTGGGAAGGATTGGACTCAATTCCGTGCGCGTGAGCGTATGTCAAACAATGTGGATAGATTGCGGAGACGCGCGCGCGTAAGAATCCCGCTCACACGCGCATGTGTACATTAGATAACGCCGGCGGTACTGTAACTTTCAAGCTCCATAACTCAGAAAGTATTCAATGAAACGTAACTTTATTATAGTGTTTTGGAAAGCTCTCGAGATAAGCTACAAGAATATGTAATAAAAAATAGGGATTTCCATTTAAAAAAACATTAATGACCTTGATCCGATTTTGACAAGGTCACTCAAGGTCAAGTCCACATTTTCATCATGTGTCCCCTATCAAGCCATGCAACTTTCACACACGTTCGAAAAATTTTTTAATAAAATCATCGATTCGCGAGATAATCGACCATATCACTTAAAATGAAACACTTTATACAGGATGTTTCAGAAATAGTTGGCCAAACTTTAAGAGCATATTCCACTCATTGTAAGGATGAAAGAAAGTCATATAAACATAGGTTCGAAAACGCTTCCTTTCCAAGTTATAAACATTTTTTTATTTTATACTTATATCTATATTTTATTTTATACTTATATCTATATTTTATTGTATACTTGTATCTATTTTTTATTTTATATTATATCTATATTTTCATTACAGAAATTGCTGGAAATAATTCCCTTCCGCATCGATGCATGCTTCGCATCGATGTCGCATGGATTGTCGAAAACGATCAAAAATTCTCGGAGTATTTCGTATTTTTTCACACGCACCGATAATACGATTTCGGAATACTTCCACAGTAGCAATAGGAGTATTATACACGAGGGTCTTAAGATGTCTCCATAAATAAAAATTCAAAGGATTCAAATCGGGAGAACGTGCAGGCCAAGCAATGGGTCCTTCTCTACCAATCCATCTATTGATGTAATTATTATTCGACTCTCGAGCAATGCTGAAATGTGCTGGAGCTCCATCATGCATGAACCATATTTGATTGCGTATCTGTAGTGGAACGTTTTCTAATATTAGAGGGAATTACGTTTCCAAAAATTGTTTGTAGTTGTTACCATTAAGTGTAGGTGGGAGAAAAATCGGTCCAAGAAGGAAATCTCTAATAATACCAGCCCATACATTGCACTAAAATGTAAGTATAAAATAAAATATAGGTATAAGTATAAAATAAAAAAATGTTTATAACTTGGAAAGGAAGCGTTTCCATGTTTATATGACTTTTTTTCATCCTTACAATGAATGAAATATGCTCTTAAAGTTTGGCTAACTATTTCTGAAACCCTGTGTATATATATGTATACATATATATTATTTCTTTTCAAGATTTAGTATATTGATTTATTTTTTTAAACTTACTTCGGGTAACCTGACAAGAAGATCATGAAATCGACCCGGCTGCTGAGGAGCGCTGTGCTCGACAAAACTTCGCAGACAGCTCATGTACCGTTCTTGTATCTGTTCTAATTCCAATGTACTTCCTCGTGCTAAGAAAGATAAGCGAAATTAGTTGAAATATGTGTTTGATCCATTTCAGAAATTCGGGACATCAAATGATTATAAATGCAAATTGCCACTGATGAAATGTTGCATATATTCTAATTTAAGTTTTCATTTCTTTCTATAAGTGAATTTCATCAATACGAGATGTCATAAATCGGTAGTGTAACCGAGAAGGATGTGGTTCTATATGAAAATTATAAATTGAAAACGTAGAATAAAATTTTTTCATATGAAGCTTTGTTTTTAAGAAAATCAATTTTAAATATTCACCAAGCGCGCGTGCACTTAACATGTCTCGATGCATTTCTATACTAGTATCTCTGTTCGTATATTTATTATTGCATATTAACCTTCAAATCGTACACGTCCCTTGAGCACCTATTAATAGTACACAGATGCGAATTGGGATTTGACATTTTTAATTACAAGTCTCTTTTGAGGATTAAAACAACAGTTTCTTTAAAACTACTCTTTTCTGAGAAATAATTTTCTCACAAATCCGATAGTATCAATTTAATCAGAAAGCATATCTAACGTAGTTGGGATAAGCCGCGGTAACTAATCATGCGCAAGTGTCAGTAAATTTTTGTGGTGTGAATTCGCATTAGTGTACGGTTTAAAGGTTAAATAATCGAGAATAAAAACAAGATATTTATATATGTTAAAAATTATTTTATATAAATTGTTGAAAGTATTGTTCATTCGAACAGGCAATTCTACTCTTCAAAGTAAATTTTTATGAATGCTGTCTAACGTGTCTAGTACATTAATTTATCTATCCGTACCCGCCGGCGTAGGTATATATAAAGTCAATTTTATGATTAAATCGTCACAAGTATTTATCCTCACGGAATTTGTCGGTGTGAGATGATAGACACGTATGCACATATATCTGGATAGCCGAGTCTGTTAAGATCATATATTACTATTTGTGTGCTACATTAGCCCATTAGAATTAGAATTTCATCGGAAAAAAATTGTAAACCAGCATTTCTCTGCATGAAAATCTTCAGAAGGCTATCAGAAAAGAAATGCATGTTTGAGATTCAAGACTTGTGTAGGAAATATATAAAAAAAAATCGAATAGTTGCAAAAAGCTTATTTTTCGCATATAAAACGAAAGATATTGTTTGTATGGAAAAAAGTTCAATATAAAAAATGTAGGTATTCGAAATACCTACAAAATGAGCAAAGTTGTTAAAAAAACCTGTTTTTTTTAACCACCCTACTTTTATTTTAAACAAAAAATATTGTTTTTTTTTATTTGAAACAATATTTATTTTGTGTTTTTTGAGCAAAAAAACATATTTTTTGTTTAAAATATGTTTTTTGTTGCTTAAACAAACAAAAAATATTGTGTGAATATTTAAAGCTTTCGCCTTAAAAAATAATAAATAACTAAAAGAATCAGTTATTTTTATTTATTCTTATTTTTATTTTATATTACTGCTAATATGTTTCTTGTGTGAGCGTCACTGAGCTCCAAAGTGTACGCGAATTCATTATCGACCTTATTGATCCTGCGGGTAAATCGAGTTGATAAATCAGGGGTACTGGCTTGTACCATCCTGTAGCCATGCCTGACGTTATATCCTACCGAGCAAAAACTCCGTTCGAAATTTATCTGAGGAAGCCATTAAATATGTTAAGCCAATAACATGGTGGTTTGCGCTAAAAAATAATATCAACGTTGTTACATTCGATTTGGTAACACATTTCCATACAGCATTTGTATTGCTGCTTCTGCTGGCACAGAAAGGCTGTTTTCACTGGCTGGATCATTTCATGATCTTGCCTTCATTGGCCGGAACATGCCCCGATCTTGCTTTCACCGGCTGGATCATTTCATAAACAAAAGTTAACTTTGAAATTATTCCTAAATATGACCCAAAGGTCAAATTCATGAAGACCATCAAATGTTAATTTTTGTACCCTTCAACTTTTTTCGTAATCAGTGACTCAAAAAAACCCCGGATACTGATTTTCGTAAAAGTTGAAGAAATTTTAAGATTTTGATCCGCCATATTGGATCGGCCATTTTGAATTTTGAAAATCTATCTTCAGATTCGTAATCAACGACCCGAAAAATCCTCGGATACAAATTTCCAAAACAATCGGTTATAAAAACATACAAAAAACCCTGACACAAAAGGTTAAAAAACATAAAAAATTCAATTTGCTCTATTTCAGTGAAAAAATTTGGATCATAGCAACCGAATATGCGTTGGAAAGGATAAGAATAACACTTTAATGTAACATCCGGCTGGATGCTGAAAAAAAATTGTTAGACATTTTATAAGTTGTTGAAAATGGCCAAAAACTTCATTTTTTGCACCTTTAAGTTAGAATATCTCAAAAACTTGACGTGATACGACATTTCCGCGGCCATATTTGTAATCAGCGTATCAAAATCTATTAGAAACAATTTCGCTTACTTTAAGGCCAAAATGGTGTCGACCAGTGTAATCGAAGAGTAACTTTTTTTTTAATTCCTAGAAAAATATCAGCTGTCGAATGCTTCACACGGCTATTTGATATGATGCATATTAACGGAGTTATTCCATTTTTTGTACGAAAAAAAGATATTCACTTTTCAAAGTCGGTTTATAATAATTTAACTGCAAGAAAGCGTTTTGTTATTAAGTGTACGTGATAGTGCAATTCTCCAAGAAGAAAAATCATCCTTGTAAATTGCCATGCGACTGTTCAAAAGTGAAAAAATTAAGTTTTCCGCAGACAGGTTTTTAGTGAACAAATGGCTTTTTGTAAAGACTAATGAACATTTCAGGATCGTTTAGGGCTAGATTTTTTCGTCATCACGAAGGCTACATTTTACGAGAATTTCAAAGCTTTGTGTTTAAATCTCGATGAACAGAGAGCGAGTGAAGAAAAGGTTTTTTTCGGTGCTTTTTATTTTTTTTTGCTTAATTAATAGACCGATCTTAATGTTCCACGTCTCATTTTGTAGGTACTTCAATGTAGATAGGAATACCTACATTTTTCATACTGAATTTTTTTCCATACAATCAATACCTTTCGTTTTATAAGCGAAAAACATGTTTTTTTAACTATTAAATTTTTTTCGCATATCTTCTATACAAGTCTTGAGTCTCAAACGTATGCATTTCTTTTGTGATGGCCTTCCAAAGATTTTCGTGCAGAGAAATGCTGGTTTACAATTTTTTTCCATAATGGGAATTTTTCAGTTCTAATTCTACTGGACTAACGTATACTTGAGGCACGTACACATATATTCAGAAATGGCTACATGAATCGTCGTGTCGGTCGCAAAATCGAAGCCCTTTAAACTCGTAAATTTTTTATCTCGACTGTCTCGAGCTTTCGTTATATTAGTCGCGTATTTAAAACAGAGTTTAACTAAAATGTATTGTACCCACTTTTAATCTGCCCTCTAATTTGTAATCTGCGATTCATCATTTAAACGATTGCTATCAGCGGATGTAACAGAAATATTTAAAATTTAAGCATAACAGCGACGGACAATAAACATATATCCGAAATAATATTTAGAGTATAAGGAAATTGCTAGTAAGACACCCACGACCGATTGCGAAGCGGAAAAGTCGAGGGGTTATCTCGCAAACATGAGACAATGTAACACGCGCGCGCTAACGGCTCACTAATAAACTGTACAATTTTTAATGCTTAAAGATGCGATGGTAATTATTTGATTAACCTGACCTGTTTCCAAAAAACAAAGTTTCGTATAAAAAAATGTTATTCTACATTTAATTGAAATCTTGTTAAATAAAAGTTTACATTAAGATCTCGTGGGAAAATGCATGCGTGCATAGTTGTTTTTAAAAAGTATTTTCAAAACTTACATTTCGTGTCTCCAATTGTAGCGTTGGAAAGAAGATAAGCTTATATTATTATTATATATATATATATATATATATATATATATATATCGCTCGAATACACGTAATACCAAAGAAGTTAACTTGACGGGATAATAACAGACACATAACAGCAGATTTAATAAAAGTGCTTACCTTGTGAGAGCATAGTGATTACTTTTAGACAGACATACTCCTCCATCCGTAGCCTCACTCGCCTAAACATTAACGTGACATATGTGATTTTTTCCACCATGAGCCCTACATCTTGCCGCAATTGGTCCATGGTTATCGGCCGACCCATCATGCTGGTTAGGCACCTTTGCAACGTATACATGTTGTTCGTTACCTGGTTGTGAAATTTTTATTAGAATGGGTCAGTGAACACATTCGTCGTATTTATAAACTATCCCTGGTAAAAAAAGTTAATAGAGAACGATTGAGAACGATAAGATTTCTATCAACTTGTATCGTTTCTATAAGCTTATATCATTTTTCTATCGTCGACCTTGCAAGCATCAGATTGGATATGAATCCTATCGTATTTTATCGGGTTCTATAAGATTTGTATAAAATTTCTATAAGATGTGTTTAATGCCTATTCGAGTCCAAACACCAGATGTAATTATGTATCAAATCCTTTATTATATTAGTATAATCATCAACGTTTCGATCCTTGGTTCGGATCCTTTTTAATATAAATTAACTATTATATATCTCATTGAACTCCCTAGAACATTACATAACCATATGAATTTTACAATCAATTCTTACTTATTTGATAAAAATTAAAACTTAAAACTTGACATTTTATTTATATGATATACTGTTAGTTATATAAGATTACAACGTTACTTGTCATGTCGCCAGTCAACAAGCGAATGTCCTATCTTATATATTGATACTCGTCGTATCTTCATATATTCATGTTAATCAAATGACCGACAATTAGAATAAAATGAAAAGATCGAAAACTAAACTTTTGTAAATAAATAACCATAAGCTGAATTTAAACGTTCTGTATCCGTTTGTAAATTCAAGCTGTTTTCTTGTCCACGTATATGAATCATTTCTGATATAAATCTTTTATTTAAAATTATTTCTTCATCAAGTATTTTAAGGTTATCCCACTCAAATTCATGTGAAAAACCTAATCGATGTTCTATGATTACTGATTTCTGTTCTGTGTTCCAATTTATATGATTCCTATGTTCAGATATTCTAGCTTTTAACGTTCTACCTGTTTGATCTTTTCATTTTATTTGATTATAAAATTCATACGATTATATAGTGTTCTAGGGAGTTCAATGAGGTATACAGTAGTTAGTTTATATTGAAAAGGACCCGAACCAAGGATCGAAACGTATTGATGATTATACTAATATAATAAAGGATTTGATACACAATTACATCTGGTGTTTGGACTCGAATAGGCATTAAACACATTTTGGATTTATTCACCCGAGTCAATTAATTAATGATTTAATAATTAAACGGCTTCTTCCACGTACACAAGTTAAGTTTTGTGCAAGATCATAAATTGATCGATATTTATTAAATTATATAGAACCAAACGTTTCAGTCTGTCATCAGACCATTTTCAATGGTATTACATAGATTTGTTAAAAAATTTTTACAATAATATTGAATATTAATAGATCGATATCATTCTCGTTGTCATTATACATATCATTGTCAATATTTAATTTATAATTTACAAATTATCCATATATAATCTTCGTCAACTGCATAAAATCATGGAAAGCAACAGTAAGTCTTATCAGTTAAAATGATTCCCATCCTCTGCACTCCATGCAAAACATGTCTGCTCTAAATTATCAGTGTAGTTTATAATTATATTATCCTTAGTGATGATTTTTTATTATCATTCCAATAACTCGACGCACCATTACCTGATACTGATAATTAATAATTTATAATTCTTAGTATGACTCCCTCAATTAATTAATTCAAAAAACTTCGTAATACCTAACGTAAAATTATTAAATTGTATCGTAAAACTTCGTAATACCTGCGTAAAATTATTAAAATGTATCACGAATTGTAATGCATATAATATCGAAGACATATTATACTTTCGTTTGTTCGCTTTAACGTCTATACAATTAATGTGTGGAAAGCTAGGACAAACTGCGAGAACTGTCTCGTATGTTCTGACACAACGTATTTATATCTTAGGCTAAAGCGACATTATGTGATTTCAAAACAGCAATATCATAACATGTCGAGCACAGAAACATATGCTTCTGGAAATTTCTGTGTGTCATTCTGCCTGTTTAAACCTTTTTCTTGTTTTTTGATAAAAATCATTTCAGATGTCAGTCTTTTGAAAAGATATTGTTCTTTATCCATAATTTTTATATCATCCCAATTGAAATTGTGACCCTTATTCATATGATGTTCTGCTAAGACAGAACTGCAGTGTTTTTTATTTTTTATATCTTGTCTTTTTTAACAAATCTATGTAATACCATTGAAAATGGTCTGATGACAGACTGAAACGTTTGGTTCTATATAATTTAATAAATATCGATCAATTTATGATCTTGCACAAAACTTAACTTGTGTACGTGGAAGAAGCCGTTTAATTATTATATTTTTGTATTGATCCACGGTTAATTAGTAATTTGTAATTAATGATTGTAATATTTCTATAAGATTTGATTTAAGTTAGTGAATTCACAAACCAGATTCCGTATTAAAAACGATAGGATTTTTCTATCGTTCTCTATCAACTTTTTTTATCAAGGATTCTTCAGATAAAAACGTTGTCAGAAATATACATATTGCGCCTATATTTAAAAAATGATTACCCCATAGTAGTCGGAAAATCACGAACAGCAAGAGTTTTGTTTGTTATTAAAAATTTATTTTATGTTAAAATCTAATAAAAAATGACGATAGACGTAAATAAACAAATAGTTGGTGTATAATTATAAGCAATTAAAAAACTGATTTCTTACTTGGCTTTTATTTTATTTCATTTTCTACTTAGGTGTTCGTCATTACCCCACTCTCCCTTATATTCTTAACATTATCAAATGTCATTTTTAGCATTTTCGTTTCGCAACTTTTTTCGAATCGTGACAATTTTGAAATTTGCTATACCACTTTTTTTTCAATTGTGATGTTCTGACGATTTTTATGAAGTAAAATTAATTCTATTTTTTTATGATTGATACAGTAATGTATTATCCACTGAACTCATTCATGATAATAACTCGAAAATCATGTTCTTTTAATTACGTCTCTTTTAAAGTAAGAAAGCGTACGTAAAGCTAATATTAATAAAAATTAATAATGCTATTAATGATAGTATTAACAATTACATCATTTAAGTGAATTACATCATTTGATGACACTAATTAGTACTTCATCGTCAAAATTGTGTTTTGTACAAATTGCATCTAAAAAAATTTTCGTATAAAAATAATAAAAATGAATAATTCTTTTATAGAATCTGGATTTTTTTAAATTTCGTTTGAAAATTGATACACGAAAAATAATATTGTTGTAACTTCTAGAAGATATGTGCTGAGTATTGTAAGGAAAGTATTGTAAGGAAAAATCGTTTACAGTGTATATTTATTTATAAAATGTATACGCTCTCTTCTCATAAATTATTGTAAAATGTAATTACTTCTTGCATAAAGTCTGCACCCGTCCCGTCAGTAGCGACATTTGTCAACCTATGATGACCGTGCATTGCTTGGTAGGCAGATGTGGTCAGCACAAGAAGTTCATGCCATTTGTGGGTGAGCAATCTCGTGTGAACTTCGACCGGCAGCTCAAGGTAAAACGGTAACCTTTTGGTCCACTGCACCAACTTGTACACTATGCTGTCTCCTATTTGACACAGCTTGTCACTTAAATCTGAATTATGGTCCAGCAGCTCGTCCAAGTTCTGTAACGCGAACAGTGGCCATGTACAAATCTTAGAGCGCAGTTATTTGTTTGAGGATTTACTAATTTGGAATTGGAGTGAGGAGAATAAACCTAATTAAATAAAAGAAATCCTATTTTCGATCAAAGCGGATAATTGTTTAATCACATTTCCTTGAAATACGACGTTTTTTCACTAGTTATTGATTATTGCAATAAATATTGTCGAAACCTCGATGATCGAATTGAGAAAACGCAAAGAATTTCAGGTTCAAATCTTAGTTAAGGTAATATTTTTCGCAATAAATTATTCATAATTTTAAAATTCTTATTAACATCAAATTATACAAGTCTGCATGTTCCTGCATTCTGGAAAGTAGAAGTCGTTTCTTACGTAATTTTGTGCGTTGAATTCGAATCCGGCAGCAGAATTAGTCTATCACAGATTACCGAGACAATTTGGTTTATGTTGAGACTTGAATTCCGCGCGCTTTATGCTACAGTAGCGTCTCTGCCATATTGTTAAGTTTTAAGACGAACACGCTCATTGGCTCATATGTTGCTATGAGAACAACCTCTTTCTTTCTGTTTTTTTACCTCGCATGTTCGTTCGTGCGTTACGTGATTCATAGCATAAGCGAAAACGCTATCTGTGTTTTTTCGTTTTGCAAAATTGATTGTTTAAACAAATTGTTTAAAACTGCCCATTTTTAAAAAACTAAAAGTGCCATTCGAGTCTACGTTCGAAAACAAGAAACTTTTATTCTTGGAATTTTTTCGATCCAGTGCTTTGTTTATGCAAAAAATGGGTATTTTAAACAATTTGTTTAAACAATTGTCGTTTAAACAATCAATTTTGCAAAACAAAAAACACGGGTAATTTTTTTTTCGCTTATGCTATGAATCACGTATTCAGTTTGGCTCTATCACGGCTGTATTAAGCATCCCAGTGAGAAATGATAATGGAATCGACATCGATTCGATGTCGATTCGACGTCGAAATTATCAAATCGACATCGAATTGACATCGATTCGACATCGATTTTATTGTTATTTCTCACTGGGATGGGCCTTAAGGGGATGCTGGAGTGTCCTGTTTTACAATTAATTTTTAAAGACTCTTTTCTCTTAATTGTCTTTATGGATTGAAAAGTCCTTCTCCACAATTAAAGTATCGACAACAACATAGGCTGCCAGCTACAATTTAATACGAAAAATGAAAGAAAATAAAAAATTGTAGTTTTGTCACCGGCTTCTGCAGTCAACTCGTCACAATATGTGCTGCATATAAAAGTTTCAGATTTTACCCGTTTAAAATAAGTAGCCAGCAGCCTACAGAAAACCTCGAAGAACAATCCTATACTTTTAGAAACGAGGTAGGAGCTTTAGTATAAGAGAAAAGAGTCGCCGAAAATTTCGTTTGTATATTAATGAAATTGACGTGAAGCCATGAAACCGAGCAGTATTTTAGTTGATCTCTTTCTAAGAGATGGCGTTACAATATGTCAGATAAGGACAGATGAATGCGTTAGAGCGAGATATAACAGAACGATATATAATAAGTATAAGAAATGAATAAAAGATGTCATTATTATCGAATTTGGAATTTAAAAAAGTCTGTACTATCGACCTTGATTAAGTTCGACTGTCACTCCAGCATTCTTTTAATGGGTTAATACATGTCTGTAAGGTGGAGTTTATAGAAAAGAAAAAGATTTTCCAAATTGAGATTTTTATCATTTTTTAGTCCAATATGGCGCTTTAGAGCTGTTATATCGTCACATCATGACAATATTTGTTTCGTATAAAAGCTGTGCAATCTGTACTTACGAAATAACAGTCCACAAACAAATCATTTGCACAAAGAAACAACGTAGAGTTCTTAGATTTGAACTTGGACATCTAATTAAATCGTTAATGTTATATGAAAATTTATGTGTATGTGTAGCATACGTGAATAAGATATTGATGTAGTAATATCTAGTGATGTATCAGTGACACGTAAATCATCTGTAAGTCTTGCTTACACAATGACTAATCATCTATTTGTGATGCCGTATGTACATAAATTCACATCAAAATATTTAAGCACTAGATCTGCTCTCATCGAAAATAGGATTTGTCTCATTTAAATAATGGATTTTGTGGCTAAACTAGTGTACGCTTTTGGAACATAAAGTGAAATGGGTATATATTCGCGAAAGCAAGAAAGAGAGTTCTAGTGTAGGAATAAAAAGCAGACTTAATATTTCATTCAAATGGATCAGTTTAGAGCAATGCTGGGATTTACTTGTACATTTCAGCCGATTTTCAACTTGGTTTATGCCCTTTACTTCACCAACCCGCGCGCAGCCTAAATACCGATCGGCATTTAGGGGCATGAACGAAGTTGAAAATCGGCTGCAATGTGCAAGTAAATCCCAGCACTGGTTTGGAGAAACAGATTATTCACTGAATTGCTGTTGCTTACGGAAATAAACGTTGATTAGACTAACAATAAGTAATTTTTTAAATTAAACTTATATACTGCACATTAGAAAAATATATATTTTTTCGTGGAAAAAAATTATGTCGATGTTTACATTAATTATACTAATGTCTTAATAGAAATTATGCAATTTACATTATATGTTTTATTATAAAAGGACCTATTCTCACATACCCTCAATGTAGCGATATCTTGGAACTCGTCGCAGTCTATAAGGGTTTGAATCATGGTTAAGGTAGCGTCCAGAGGAAATACTCGATCCCTCGAACTGCTAACTGCATTGTCTAACCTTTGTCGTAAGTGCACCACCTTAAACATACGAAGTTAATATATAAAATCTATTTACATAGCCTTTTTTTTATCAAAATAATACACTATTTGCATTTGTTAAATATTTTAGTTATGCATCTAGAATATTGATTAAAATCAGTAGTAATTTTCTCAGAGAGAGAGAGAGAGAGAGAGAGAGAGACGCATATACATTGCTGTTTGAATCAATCTTTGTCAGTTATACATATAGTATCTCACAGGTCGGGCTTTCAATCTTGTTTACGTGAAATGTTTCTTGAAATTTTTTCATAAAGCGAGAAAGTTATTCTGAAAAGATCTGCACGTTTTAATTCCTCCAGCACTTCCTCTGGTGCGCGAAATTCGAGTTCGGCGGCCGCGCATCCAATCGATAGACTAAACCTTTCACTAACCTTTTGGATCTCGAGACATTTTCTCGAGGTCGGGCACGGAGTGTATGTGAGCGAGATAGAAAGAGAAAGAGAAAAAGAAAGCGAAAGAACCTACCAAGTTGGTTTCTGACTTCAGGGAAAGCTGGTCGCTTTGTCGGCTAAGGTTCATGCATAAGTGACTATCTCGTGGAGAACTGTGGGACACGTTTGCAGTTGAAGGCGCTTAACATGAGGAAGGGACCAAAGTTTCGTAGGGGGCACAAGGGAGAAGATATACAGGAGAGGATGCGCGAGAAGGAGAAGGAGGGTGAGGTTACTGTCCCCCGTGCAGACTTTCACGAGTTACGAAACCGTTGGAGAACTGCCCGTCCTTGGCATCGGCTGCCGTTGATTTTCTATTGTCCCTATCTGCGTCGCTCGCTATGACGTTTCCAAGCAGTGACGATGACGAACAACGATTGACGTGATACTTCGTTACGATAAAAAGATATTCGATACTATTTTAGTAGAAATTAGTAAAGTTCATTGATATAGCTAAATTATGTGCAGCATGATGTGTTTAGAAATATATTATATATAAATGATAAATTTCGATTCTGTTTAATGATTTCTTTTTATAATAATTATTAGCGAAATTGTAACGAAATGATGAGAGATATAAATATATATACATTTGTATTTAATAGAAATTATATTAAAAAGGTTTCATATATGTATAATGTATGTCTTATAATCTCTATTTTTATAATTAGATTATAACAAAGCTTATTCTTTTTTCGAAATATTTAAATATCTGAGATATTTAATAAAATTTAATGAATATTATATAATGAAGTAATTCTCTTTAAAAACTCTCTAAATATTTATATAAAATATTCACACATAATTAAGAATTTAAGTAAAAATTAGTTTTATAGAAATTTTATGTGCAGAATATCTTCTGATAAAATAAAGATAAAAGTTAATCTTCACAACAGCTCAACTGGAATTAAGTAAATGGTCAAATAATTTTTTTTCACGTTATTTTCGCAACTAAAAACAATAAATATTCTTCTTCTTAAAGAAAGCGATTCCGTTGTTTGCAATTTTTTTTCTTATCTTATATAAAATTCACTTTGAAAATGTGGTTTCATTGTGCATCTCACGTACGATGACTCGGCCGCAGCTCGAAAGTGACCTCTTTAATGGAGCACCAACATGGTCAATATTTATTCGGTTTTACCGGCATCGGTTTCACTTTTGATAATGGCCTCTACTGGACCAATTGAACGATCGCGGCAGTTCCCTTGTTTGCTCATATAATCAGACGTAACACGCATATTTTTCCATTACTCACGCTAATCATTCCACTTGAGAAAATCGGAGATGATATTTTTGTATACCAAAATTGCAATATAGGAAAAATTAATTTTATTGAAAGTAAATTTAGTTATGAAATTATATCCGCATTATAATTTATAATTGTATATATATATATATATATATATATATATACCTGTATAATATACATGGCTTTCAAATGATTTCAGTAAATAATTTTTCATATAATTTTTTATATAATATATTTCATCGATTAATCATCATAAAGATCTGTTTATGTCGTTTGTAAAAAACTACAAACATAGTATTGAAAAACACTGCTTTACGGAGACATATAATTTTGTAAGTTATATAAGAATCTTGTACTATATAAGAAGTGTATAGATGAACACAAATGCGACGACGATTGGCTGATTCTCGCGAGCATGCTATTCGCTCGTTTTATCTATTGGCTTTCGTAATGTGGGAAACCTTGAGGCTTGCACAAGTTGAGTCGTAAGAAAGTGAAATTGCGACGGTAAGTTCATTCATTCCAAGATCGGTGCGGAGGAAACCGATCAACGCATGCTGAATTTGTTATTTGTCTCGTATAGTGCTACTATTACTCAACGATTCGCATATCAAGATATTTTACATTTTTAATACAAAGTAATGACTAAAATAAATTAAATTTATATCTTTCTTAGAGATTATAATGCAATTATATTTTGAAAAGATATACACAACGTTATAATCGTATTCTAATATACGCTGCTACTAGTATTGAAATCTATAGTATAGTATACAGGATGTCCCATTTTAATGTCCCACCCCAAATAACTTTTTTATTTTTGATTTTAGAAAAAAATTTCAGACGAAAGTTGTATGGCTTTGAGGGGAACATAAGATAGTATCATTAGTTTGACCTTGAATAATTGCTTGAAGATCACGTAAAAGTTACCTTCTTATTGCATATTCTTGTAAATCATCTCGAGAGCTTTCCAAAATATTCTATTATAATTAAGTTCATTTTCATTAAGTACTTTTCGTTATAAGGCTTGTAAGTTACAGCACCGCCGGCATTAGTATTACCCAAGGTGTCTGACCGACGGCTAAAATCTTTTGAATGTTGTTCAAGATCATGACCTGGATAACATTTGTCAAAATCAAGGTCATTGGAGGTTGTTCCTCTTATTTTCATTTTTGCACTAAAAATTACATTTCTACGTAAATAGTACATCAATAGTATCGCTAGCAAATAAGAGGCTCATGTATATATATAAATCGTAGATGGTTGCAGGGTCTCAAATCGTAAGAAATTGATTAATTCTAGTCAAGTATTCTCCCTATATTTGACTGTGCTTGGTCGGTTTCCTACGACTTAGGACTCCACGATCATCTACGAATTCTATGTAAACGAGCTAAAGTCTATCCAAAAGATAAGTTAGATTCTATATAGTTTGTTTCTGTTACTAATAATTGGTTGGTACAGCAGACTAGCAGCAATCACAACAACATAATTTGTTGTCACATATTTATCGATTCGCCGGTTAAAGGTATTGGTGGCTTGCTAAATTAACAAAATCCTTTTTCTTAGTGCGTATTCCTGACACAATTCTAAGACGATTTTTCCTTTACGAAAATTTGGTCTAAAGATTAGTTTTCAAATTACAAGAAGAAATAGCATATTATGGGTCGCCTAGAGAAGACGGGCAGGAGCGGCACTCACGTTTAGGGCGCTTTACGCGCAGAGCGCACACTGATCAGACGCATTCACACGTTTATAAAAACACATTCCTTGTTACTTTTTTCCTCTACCACACTATCTCTTTGTCTTTCACATATTTTAAATTTACATATTTTAAACTACTAATTTCGTTAAATTATAAATTAGAATGATGAAATTAAAATGAATATTAAACCTTTTGAGTATCGGATTGTTTTTTAATTACATTGATAAAATTGTTAGAGAAATGTCATAAAAGAGCGAAATTAGACAATAATTATGTGCGATAAGCATTATAAAACTATTATTGGCGTAAAAATCAAACAATTGTTTCAGTACGTCTAATTCTAAGAGCGCTTCTTACAATTTGACGTACTTGTTAGACTTAATTGTAGGTATTCTTTTACATTAGCAGACACCTCTTCAATGACCTTGACCTTGATATACATATGTTATAGAGGTGAGGGTACTAAAGTTGTTTGATTTATATGTCAATAATAGTTTTATAATGCTTATCGCACATAATTATTGTCTAATTTCGCTTTTTTACGACATTTCTCCAACAATTTTATCAATGTAATCGAAAAACAATCCGATACTCAAAGGATTCAATATTCATTTTAATTTCATCATTCTAATTTATAATTTAACGAAATTGGTATATTTAAAGTATTGTGAAAGACAATAGATAGTGTGGTAGAGGGGAAAGAAGGAATGTGTTTTTATAAACGTGTGAATGCGTCCGGTCAGTATGCGCCCCGCGCGTAAAGCGCCTACGTCTAGCCGTGAGTGCCACTCCTGCCCATCTTCTCTACACGGCCCGTGATACGCTATTTCTTCTTGTTATTTGAAAATTAATCTTCCAAATTTTCATAAAGGAAAAATCATTTTAGAATTGTATCAAGAATCCCTGTCTCTACAGGGACACCTGGGTTGTTTTGGATCACCCTGTATAAACAATATTTCTGTGACGTTAATTGTTTGCTTTCTGATTCGTCAGAGTAGTGTAAAACCAGTAGGTTGTTTAATTATCGGATACAATCTATTATTACTTTTGAAAGAATATAACAATAAAGAGTGCAAAATTATTCGCAAAGATTGATCCAATTTGCGAGCATAACAGGTCCCTTCGAAGATATCGATAATGCAATTCTGATTTCATCGAAGTTTTTTAATCTGTATCTTTTCGCACGTAAGGCTATTAGTATTGAATATGGATCATAAGTATCGATCAAACGCATACACGCAACGTACTTGCTTTGCAGTTGTTTCATATACATTTAATTTATTATGCTAATAGAAAATTAATAAATTTAATAAATAGAAAAAATTTATAACGTAAAACTCCATTTCAAGTACGGATTCAAATTTATAAATTATTATAATATTTAAATATTGGGTTATATTTTATATATAGCCGACAGATGGAGATCCGGTCGATTTTTTACGTGCCACTATTAGGTTATATATCGTTGGAAACGTGCTATTTCATGTAACATTTTAAAATAGATTGATCATAGATTTGAACGATATTATTGATGCATTCAATCAAATTTGAAAATGAGTGAAAATCAGGAATATTTCCGACATATTTTACTTCTTTATTGTAAAAAAGGGAAGAACGCTGTGCAAGCCGTAGACAAAATTTGTCATGTTTATTGAGAGGATGTTCTAATTAGATAAACAGCAGCGAATTGGTTTCGCCGATTTCAAGATAGCAATTTCGATGTCAAAGATGCACATCGTTCTGGTTGGCCTATTGTGAAAAATGTCGATGAAATTTTCCAAAAAATTGGAGAAAATCATCATGTAAACAGCTATGACATAGCTAAGAAGTTAAACATTGATCATGAAACCGTTCTGAGGCTCTTGCGTAAGGCTGGATACACAAAGAAGTTTGATCTTTGGGTTCTACATGTGACATAAAAAATTAAATAGATAAAATTTCCATTTGCAAATCGCTGCTAAAACGAAATGAAATTGAGCCTTTTCTGAAAAGATTAATAATAGGCAATGAAAGTGGATAGATAATAATGTTCGAAAAAGATCATGATCGAAACTAGGTGAGGTACCACAAACAATCGCAAAGCCCATTGATGCCAAAAAAGGCTGTGTGTCTGATCGGATTGGAAAGGAGTCGTCCATTATGAACTGCTACCGCCAGGCAAACCGATTGACTCTGATCTCTACTGTCAACAACGAATGCGATTGGGAGCCCATTCAGAATAAGCGGCCAGAATTGAACAGAAAAGGCGTTGTCTTCCATTATGACAACGCTAGGCCACATACATCTTTGATGACTCGACAAAAATTGAGAGAGCTTGGCTGGAAAATTTTGATGTATTCACCGTATAGTACTGACCTTGCACTGTCCGATTATTGTCTGTTAATATTTATTTCGGTCTCTGCAGAACTCCCTTAATGGAGTATACTTGACTTTTTTAGGCCTGCGAAAATCGTTTATCTCGATTCTTTTATTGAGAAACCACAGAAGTTTTACACCGATGGAATAATAGCTCTACTCGAAAAATAGCAAAAAGTCATAGATCAAAACGGCACATATTTGGTTTAATAAAAGGTTTGTAAACAATTTAAAAAATATGTTTCAATTATGCTCCAACTTACAAAAAATGTTTTCCCTCTCTAACTCAATAAGTAAAGAAATTTATTCTTAACTTGATTTTAAACGAATGTTACAAAGATATTGATATAATGCGTGGATAATAATATTTAATGTTGAAAAAGTTATGAAAGAATAATGACGGCCAATGAAATATTTTTACTATTAATAAAAAAAATAAATTTTATATAAAATATAAAAAGTATAAATAAATGTACAGAAGATAACACGTACAGACAATAATACGTTATTGGATCGTCTGAACAAATGATCATCGTCTGCAAAGATTTCGCGATCTTGCAATGCCACCGCAGCTGCTTCGAAAGTGAAAGCAAAGATGCCTGCGGGACATTCTTATCCCGGAGCACCGGATTCTTCTGTCGGCGGTCGAAGAGTCAACTTTTGTTGACGCATACTCGATTTCTAACCAGGACTATATTGCATAAATCACGTGAATTGTAAACAAGCGAGATCCTTCGATCGAAGGCATACGCAAACGTTAATCTATATGCGTTGATCGTATGAGCAAGAATATGCAACGTAAAATCCCTGTAGAATCTCATCGTACGGATTAACAGAGAACTTTCATGTCGTATAATCGTGCAATTTAATCGGACCGATTTTTAGAAAGTTTCCGCGGATATCTCACGCATATCACGGCGGATAATATACAAGCGGCGGGTAATATAGAATGTCTATCAAGCTAGAATGCCAACATGGGCATAATCATATGAAACACATGGAGGATTTAGTGCTCTTTATGTGCTAATTTGTTGCTGTAATCCCGATTTTTGTGCTCAAGCCGTTTAGCGGAAAATTAGTTTTTTGCTGATTTTTAATAAAGTTAGAATGCATTTTAAAAAGATAATAATAAAAACAAAAATAATGACACTATAATTTTGTGCTAATCATGTGCTTTTAATATATACCATGCATAATTCAAATATTAGTACTCATCCCCTTTGACCGGTAAATCACCCCCGAAGCGATCACTCACTTCCCCTTAGAAAAGTAAAGTGCCAATTAAAATGCAGATAGCGAAATATTCCTAGGCTCAAATTGTTCCTCCATTTATGTGCTTTCGAAATATGTACGACAAGATTTTTGTGTTCATCCCCTTTGACCGGTAAATCATCCCCGAAGCGATCACTCACTTTCCCTTACAAGAGTAAAGTGCCAGTTCAAATGCAGAGAGCGAAATGTTCCTAGGTTCAAATTATTTCTCCATTTATGTGCTTTCAAAATATGTACGACAAGATTTTTGTGCTCCCCTTTGACCGGTAAATCATCCTCGAAGCGATCACTCACTTTTCTCTTACAAATTCGTAACAATTACTCAACAAATTCTTTATGTGTTTTGTATGATTATGCCTATGTTGGCATTCTAGCTTGAAAGACATTAATATAGATAAATCTTGCAGCCGAGATTATATTACGTCGCTGATAACGTTTGCCTTGCGTAACGTTCGAATAATTAAGGGTAAAATGAGTAAAAGCTGTAACAGGCGCACGCGGTGCATTTTATCGTAATGAAACTAGTTCTCTGACGACTTCGTTTCGTGAAATATGCGGAAACAGATAAATTGCGCAATCTATACTTTGACGAAATTTCTCATGTAGGAGGTGAATTGGCATAGTTCAAACTCGGAGATCGTTAGCGATAAATTGTGTGAATGGATTGGACAATGAATTTTTATTCAAATATACTATAGAGAATATAACATTCCAAATCTGTGAGGAACTATAACCGTGCGTACCTTATAATTCATGACTGTAATTGTGATGGTAGATTCTATCAAGTTTCGTTCAATCTCAAGTCAATTGATTCTTGATTGAAATCTCCAAACAATATCTCCGTACACACAAGCGATTAGGAATGAGCGATTTTTCAGAAAACTCTTTGGTATAAAAACGCGATTAAGTATAAGCCTTATTGTACGTTCAAAATCAAATAAGAAATCTTATTTTTTTAAAGTTTTGAATTTTATATTGTCTCAGAATATAATTGCGTATTAAAAAGTTAAGCAGAAAACGATTTCCTAAAATTTTCATAAAAGAAAAACCGAATGTACATTTAATATTATGTTCGTGTGACTTAATTCTGTTTTCTTTGCCTGGAACGATTCCGAGCGATGGTTATCGATGGTCGAAAATGATCGTGAATTAAAAATGCAGTATCACTTCAAAGAAATTTAAAATTCATTTACTTTAAGAACAACAAAGCAAATACACTCACTTCAGAGGGATTGGTAAGCGCCGTCTTCAGGATAGTCCCGTTGACGAGATGGCCCGAATGCGCAGGATGGCTCGGGTGGCTAGGAGTGGGTGGTGAGTTGAGTGGATCGCCTGATGAGATTTTGTGATGATGAAGGAAACTACCAGCTAGTTGGGCGTGCTGTTGTTGTTGCTGGCTGTGATGGGCAGCAGCCGCGGCCATATGCTTGTCTAGCATCGTCGTGCCCATTGTACTCTTGACACCCCCGAGAGTACCCGAGCCGTTTACACCACCGACGTTACTGGCACTCATACCGCCGACGCCGCCAGTCTTGTTGCTCTTCTTGTGTTTCTTGTACTTCACCTGCGGCCGATCAACAGGCGATCTTTTTCAATAGTTGCAGCTGATTTGATCGTCGATTAATTTAAACGTTCTTCAACCGAACTTGCGCGAATATAGATATTCGAACGACATCAGCCTATCATTTTATTTATTATACGATAGTATAAATCATAGCATTATAATAATGATTTTATTGTTAAAACTTTAGTCGGTGCGTACCTTGTAAAGATTGTACACTGCACCCGAATTTCTTCCTCCAGGCATCCGGTCTTCTCGAACCGCCTGCAAGACCATACCCTGTTCGATGCATTTCTTGAACCGGCAGTACTGACACCTGTTTCTCTGCGCCTTCGTAATTTCGCAGCCTCCCTCTGCCACGCACGTATACACCCGTCTATTTTGCACGGTCCTTTTGAAGAAGCCTTTACATCTGCATGCAAATAAATCGAATTCTTGTATATATAACTTGTAATTGATTAACTTATTAATTTACACAATAAGAATCTTATTGGATCGTAAAATTTGAAATTCATCAAATAGGAAATAGAAATTGGCCATAACGGTCTAAATTAGGATCTTTTTAATGCTTAACTAATTTAAAATAAATCAATATATACTATATATGTACATACATATATACCATATTGTAGTCATTTGAACTAGGCGCTGAAATTTTTCCGGAGTTTCAAATTTCACGGTCCAAACAATATCTTTATTTTAGACCGTATATGTGAGAAACACAATCAATACTAGAAATTTAAAGTACCTATTACAGTCGAAGCTGGATCTTCGTTGCTTAAATAATTCAATCTTGAATTACTAATATATACTATATATGTACTATATATATGTACTTGCATATATATCATATTGTAGTCTTTTTTAAACTGCGCGCCGAATTATTTTTCCGAACTAAATAAACGCAATTAAAACTACTCTAGTAATCACGAATTAAATTGATAAGCAATTTAATAATTTGATGCTACCATTAAGCATCATATATTATAAAGATGTTAATATGTTAAAACTGTTAATAAATTTATTGCGAAAAATATTACCTCGGCCAGGACTTGAACCCGGATCTCTTGTATTCCGTACGAGCGTCCTAATTCTTTCACGGTCTAATAAGATTCTTATTGTTTATATTACGTCGCCAAAAAGACATTCGTTTCTATACATACCTATACTAATTATTGCGAAAAGTATTAACTAAGGCCTCGGTAGTCTAAAGACTTAGGACGCTCGTACGGAATGCAAAAGATCCGAATTCAGCCTCCTGGTCGAAATAATATTTTTCACAATAAATAAATTTATTTACAGATTTCTATCATATTAAGATCTTTCTAATAGATACCTATTGATCATCAAAAATTTAACTGTGATATTATTTCGGTAGTTTAGCTGCGTTGCAAATCTGGAAAAATTTCGGCGCGTAGTTCAAATGGCTACAATATGATATATATGTATGTACACTGAGAAAAAAATGCTGTTGATTCAATTAAAGTCTATATTACGGGCTGTCACTAACATAAGTGATTAATTCATGTATATTTTTATTGATTATTGAAATAATAATTTATGCCTTTATGTCAATAAAAATATACATGAATTAATCACTTATGTTAGTGACAGCCCGTAATATAGACTTTAATTGAATCAACAGCATTTTTTTCTCAGAGTACATATATAATATATATTACTTCACTTTAAATTAGTTAAAAAGATCCCAGCTTAGACCGTTTTGGTCAGGATTTCCTGTATTTCCTATTTGATGAGTTTCATCAATTTAGAATCATAGAAGATATCCCTATTAAAAATAAAAAAAAGCTTAATATTGAAAGACATAATTTCAGGGTGCTTTCATTATTTTCCTTTTCGCTAATAGTTTATATATACACTACCGTCGAAAAGTTTCCGGACATGGAACTTAAAATTGCATAATATTTAGGTCATCATAACTCGGTAAAAAATCATCGCAGACAGAAAAATAAAAAAGCATTTTAAAGCTTGAAACTTATATTTTAGCATGCTTTCGACCGCTTTTCAAAAAAATTTTATCTTTACAGTTCTGTATCTTAATAAATATCACGTTGTTGTATTTCTTAAAATTACATACATTTAACAGTGTATAGTTTGATAAAAAGTTTTTTTTTTCAAAAAGTTCAATATTTTTGAAAAACAGTACAAAGATTTACCTCTAAAATCCCAGTCAGAAATGATAATAAAATCGACATCGAATCGACGTCGATTTGATGCTTTTGACATCGAATCGACGTCGATGTCGATTCCATTATCATTTCTGACTGGGATGCTTTTTTAAAAATTTTCTTATGATTTTTCTTGACTGAATTACGCGTCATTAAAGCTAAACCTGCATAGCTTACTACCAACATTAAAATTCGGTGAAATACCATCGTAAAAAATGAAAGAAGTAACTTTTAAAGTTTAACAAGCTTTTGATCGTTTTTAAATTTAATTCTATAGAATTGAGAAAATAAAATTTTTTGTGATAATTTTTTATCAAATTTCCCCGTTAGTTATTTAGCAATGCAAGTTTAACTTCAATATTTGGTTACAAGGTTGCTAACATAAGAACTATAAACAACTAATTATAAACGCCACGCTCAGCTAGTAGAGCGCCATGCTCGACATTGGCAAAAGTGGAGGGGTAATTTCTCGGTGATACCCAGGACCAAAAGCCCATCACTGCCGCCGCAGCGAGTTACTTGAGTGATGGGCAGTATTTAAAATATGTGTAGTTAAAATATATATTTAAAGAAATTTTTGTATTTTGTATTCAAATACAATTTTTTTAGTATTTTGCCCATCCCTGGCTGTATTGATTCTAATCTTATATCGCAATAGGCAATCACATGTTATGCGTTATGCAAGAGTCTATGCTCCCCGCTTAACCTTGTTTTTTTCCACTATGTATCAGTATATATGTTGATTACACATACAAATAAATTAGAAAAATATTAATATCTTTACATTAAAATAGAATTATATATGAATCACATCATCAATGGTTAAAAACTCGATGTAAATCAGTTAGTTTTGAAAAAACATATAAATTTAGATAAATATTTAATGATTCAACCAAAAGTTATCATTTTTTTGTTGCTAAAATAAATTTTTCTTTCAATTTCATTTACAACAATTTAAAGTGTTGTCTTTTACTTATGATATGAAATTTATATTTATTACGGTACGATTTTTATTTATACGCATAATTAGCACAATAATTAACGCATATGCATAATATGAAGAATGATAAACAATATAACAAACAAAAAATATAGTAGGCTAATGAGAGTCAGCGACGATAAACAGCGCAAGTGATATAATGATCAATCAATACTCAAAAAATGGATTGATGTCTTCTTTATTTGAACGTTTCAACTCTCTTTGGAGTCTTCCTCAGCAAAAATAATACAATTCTAATAAGTTCACATGTCCGCAATGCTTAAGTCACCCGCAAATTGACAAAAATGCAACGTTGATAATCTGACATTTATAGAAAAAGTCTCATTAGACAGATAAATGAGAAAAATGAATTTGAATGACTTATCATCACGGAACATGACCAAAAAACGTGGAGCTTTGTTGAACATCCCAAATCTTAAATGGTGGGTATATTACAATTAATAAAATTTCGCATTTTCAAACCCTTGTCCGATAACGTGTCACACAGATATGAACTATATTTAATGTACGAGGTCAACAATAAAAACATTAAGGCAAATATGCAATACAAGAACAAGTCACATGTAAATTATTGTTAAGAACAACCAATGGAAACGCAACAATAATGTACGGAAATTAAAATTATAAAAACTGATATAAATCGTCAAATAAAATAATAAAAGAAAAAGAAAAAGAATACAATCAGTATAAAGAGATATTTAAACTTGTTACTGTTCTAAACTGAACAAATACATATATTTAAAATATCGTTAAGTGATGAACCTTCTTAACTGAACAATTAAATTAACATAATAAAAAACTAAATAATTTATTACAAAAATCAAGAGAAATTTTCAAGCATTGATGCATAGATATGATGCAATCCTTTCGTATCTGAACACAAATTAAGACCATTCTTTTGTATGTGTATGAATGCCATTTCGGAAATCAATCTTTTGTTCAAAAATTTCTCTTTGTCTAAAATTTGGACATTCTTCCAATCAAAGTCATGTGAAAATTCCATATACGATGTTCAGTAATTACAGACTGGGTGTCAGTGTTCCAATTGATATGTCTACGATGTTCTGATATTCTGCTGGACAATTTCCTGATGAAGAATGATTTAATAATTTATAATATGCTAATTTAGCTAATTATGCATATAAAAGAAATCGTGCCGTAATAAATATAAATTTATAAGTAAAAGATAGCATTTTAAAGTAACGTAAATAAAATTGAAAACAAATTTATTTCAATCACAAAAGAAAGGTAAATACGACTAGAAACCAATTTTGCCACTAAATTCGTTTTCAGTGAAGCAAAGTCCATTGGAAAACATTGTTCATTTAGGTCCCAAAATTTATTTTTTAATAAATGTAATATATCTATGTTATATTCTTTTTTAAAATATAAATTCGGTTTCTGTAGTTTTTATCGGTTTTTTTATGCAAGATAGGAATAGCTATTATTACGGGTCGGATCGTTTATTTTAAGAAGTTCTTCTAGACAGCGAAAATATTGAGGTTGAATCAAGGATTCATCTGCTCAGATTACGAGTGAGAATTACGTGTACGATGGGTACGAGGGAAAAACTTGTTGCAGACTTTTCTCGTCTAATCCACTTGCTCTTTCGAGACAACAAAGTTGGACAAGGATGAGCGAGGAAGTAACGATACTCCGTGGTAATTTCACGGACTAATCAAAAGTGTTGTTCAAGAAGTCATCCGAGTACATGCAATAGAGTAGACGCAACAAGTATTCCCTCGTCTTGTGTACAGGGTGTTACAGATACATACTAGGCAGTACGACAGGTTGCGCGGCAAACTTTGCATGGCCAAGTGGTTTAATAGACAATGACAGTGACTTTATACATTATAAAGTTTATACTACAAAGTTTTATTATTTATATTATAAAGTTTATGTTATAAAGTAACTGTCATTGTCTATTAAACCACGCTTGGCCATGCAAAGTTTGCCGCGCAACCCGTCGTACTGCCTAGTATGTATCTGTAACACCCTGTAGATATTGTTCCGCTCTGAGGACAGAACGAGAAAATTATGGAATTACTGGTCAATTTTTAATCTCGTCTAAGTTATAAATTATGAATGTTCACGCAAAAATTAATATATCTTGATAGACTATCTTATTTCAGTAATCCACAAATTTAGATGTTGATTGTGATTGATATTTGGAAGTAAATGTACATAAAGGATAGAACATATAAATTATAAAGCTTAAAATAT